GTAAGGTGATGTCTGTCTCTTGCTGTATCCAACTCTCCAGCCATAATTTCCATAAATTTTCATGGTCAAATGTTTTCAGCATTTTTTCAGACTTCCTTCCCAGAAGGTATGGAAATGTTTCCTTCACAAGGTCCTACTGATTCTCGTGTTGTTAATGCAGAATTCAGATTTTTTTTCCTAAAATTTGGGTAATATACATTTCAAGCAATTTTTGGTAAGTATACTGAACTGGATGCAAGAAATATAAACCCACAATTCTGAAGGTCTTTCAGAGTGTTAGTCATTATATTAAAAAGCATTTTATGAATACCATAGCACTTGAATATGTTTGCACTGTATCTTTAGGGCAACATTTGCATCAAAATTCAAGAAGTCTTCGGTTAGAGTTTCATTAACTCCAAAGTTCATTATGGAGCTGAATGATAGAACAGGTTAGTTAAATTAGTTGCCATGACCTACTGGCGGAAAGCATATGTTTTGGTCTGCTGTGCCAACAGGAAAAGGAAACAAAAGGGAGTTAGTATGGTTACTTAGGTTCACTCAAAGTCTGTTCTTTCTTTAGTTACTGAAAAAAACAAAGCTCAGAGTAACAGAAATTTTACAGAGGGCTTGCAAAGATGCACAGAAATTGTCTTCTTAATGAGACAACTCCCAGAAAGTCCTCCAGTGGCAATAGCAGGAGCATCATATAAGCCCAAGAAAAATCCAAAACAGCTTTTATCCTCCTGTTTCAGAGAGGCAAAATGAAGACAACCTCGGGTACCTCTGGAAAAGATTAGGGTAGGTAGACTTTGAGAACTGTATTGCGGATCATGAGGCTCTACCTGAGAACATCAGAGCATAGAGAGGCCTGGGGTTGGCACACATAGGACTGAAGGAGTAGGTTTTGGAATGGCAATTTGAGCTTGTTTTTTTTTTGGTAACATACATTACATCAGGTTTTATTTCTGATTTTCTAACAGTATGATTTCCTTTCAGTTCAAATCTATTCAAAATCGTCTATTGATGACTACCTTACTGTAATATGGTTCCCATTTGAATTGTTTCCTTTGCAATCCTGTTTGTTGCATGTGTGAATACTCTTGTTCACAATCATGAATGTTTCCTATTGATACCCAGAGCATTTAGGGCTGAATCTCTACCTTGTGAAGACAACAGAAAGTGGTTTGCTTGTTTTGGTTTGTTTGGGGTTTTTTTTGGTTAGTTTGTTTATTTTAGGAATCCAACCCAAAGCAGTTTTGACTGGAAGAACTGAGTAGCTGGATTATCTTGCTTTGGCTTTTTCTGTTCATGATAGTCTTCAGCCAAGAATAGCTAACATTCACAAGCTCTTGCGATACTTTTATCTCAGCCATGTGTTTGGGATCTAGACAATACAGCCATGTCTGCATACCATGTCTGCCTCACATAATAAAACTGCCAGTCCCAGCTTGGGTCTCCACATTACACTGCCAGTCTTGCCCTGAAAACATAGGCAGGAGCAGTTCATTTGACCCGATAACCTGTTACCATTGTCAGAATGAAGCAATCCGAGTGAAATTGGCAGGACATTTAGTTTGGCACCATCTTTACAATTTGTCAGCATAATTTAATTGCAATATTAAAGAGAAATATTATCACCTGACACCTCTGTATTCAGTATTCACCATTTACAAGGATCTGAACTGGGACTGGCTATGAAAACACAGCCATGATTCTGTAGAAAAACAGAATTACCAAAATACACTGTAACAAATGCAAAACATTGGGATTTTCCTTTCATTCTACTAGGTTGGTGGTTGGCTTTTTTCTGTAATAAATCTATACAGGATTAATAGATTACACTGTCTTTGGTTCTTTGTATCTGTACTGTAAAATGTAAATAAGTGATTGTTAAGAAATAATCTAATGCCTTTTACTAAACTGTGCCTTTCTCCAAGTGGTAACAAAACCCCGGAAAGTGAAAAAACCCGACCCAGATAACCAGACACTACTGCAGCACCAGTATCAACAACACAGCTGTTCACTTCAAGAGTGTGAACTTGTATGCTACGTATTTTTTTTGCTCAGAAATTATTTGTCTGAGAGAACAGAATCTAAGAATTTATGAGAAAGGCTTTAATCTGATAATTGGATTTTTTCATTTGCACGTGCTTCCACATTGCCTCCAGTGACTTACACATTCGAGTTTCTGATTCTCTCATATGTATTAAACATGCTGGTCTGACTACAGAGAAGCCTCACACTCTTAATGAGACACTGTAATGCCTACTGGAAATCTAAGTGACAGTGAATTTGAAAAGATAAAGTCCACCTTAAGAATCAAAATAGAGAGGAAAACAGGGACACAATATTCAGATAACAATTCACAAGAAAACTGATGGCCAAATTTACAAAGAGAAAAATGTAATTCATTTTTAAATGTAGTTTTCTTTAGAAATAAGAAAAGTCCTGTATAGGACACCTTATTAAAACTAAAGAGAATTCCCAAAATTAATTGAGTTTGTTTGTCAGGGGTCAGTGCTATCCATGGGGCAGGCAGGGCAGGCCATGCAGGATAACAACTTATATCTGGGTATTGCAGCCCAATCCACTTTGCTGGCAAAAAAAGCAATAATACCTGCATTCAAACACTTCCAGATGGACTGAAACTAGAATTCTCCATAACCTGTAGATTGACAGCAGCAAGCTTTAATTATCTTCTTAACAGCAAGACTGATATCAGGGGAAATAAAACTAAAACATTAGAAAGAAAGCACCTGAGAGATGAAAATATCATTGTTTTGAACATTACAGACAGTGAGCATTCATTACTGAACTTAAGAAGTTCTGGTATTTCATTCATTACATGACCAAAATATCTGAAATATGGGCAGCCAATATTGATCCCAGACTTTTATAGAACACATTCAGATACTGTGATTTGAGACATCATGCTCTACCAAAATATTTATAGATCCAGTAACAAATATATAAGAAATGCAGAAATGTAAGTAGTAGTTTTAAATATCAGAGGCCAAATGAGGTGGTGTGAAATGGCACAGCTCCACTGTGGTCTCTGAGCAGTACCACAACTTAATTTAGTTCAGGATCTGTGACTATTTGCACTATTTGAATGCTTGCTTTCCTTACAAACATATTCCTTTTGAGGCTTTGAGTGTGTTTTGCTGCAAACCCAGTACTACAATGACAAAGGCTGAAGAATTTCTATTTACAATTCCCTTCAACACTGCATATTTTACCACATAACTAACTGCAATCAAAGGATGTAGGAAAAAACAAACCCAAACAAAACCACCCTTAACCACTGGATGAAGTTACAAGGGAAAAACTAATTCAAAGCTAATTTGATGGAAAGTTTTGAAAAGTCAGTGGCTGAAGGCAGCAAATATCCTATCAATACTATGGACTATATCTTGGATGTTTGTACTCCAGAAAGGGACACTGTCATTTGAGATATAGAATTGCTCTAACTGGGGACATGAATTAACAACTATTAATTAAAGAGAGAGGGGAAAAAAAAAATGAACCAGCAAGAAAAAAGTATCCATTGCAATTATAATAAGAGACTTCATACGGACTCTTCCCATTATTGTGTGGCTCTGGTACTATCTTCATCCACCTTCCTCCTCTTCCTGTTTGCTGGAGAACCATTCTTCTTGCCAGATGAACTGAGACACCAGCTTTTCCCATCATAAAGAATGTCAATATTGGTTGATACCCCTATGAACTATACCAATGATATTCAGTCATATCAGCACACATTAACCTGAAGCATAATTATTCATTACAGCAGCACTTATCGTAATTCAATCAGCAGTTAATTTAAATCAGTATTTCTTTGAGTACAATTTAGACTATTGAAAAAAAACACTTTTAGAGCTTTTCCATTGAAATCTGAGATTTCTAGCACTCATGAAAATGAAATGTGAACAGTGCTGATGAAATGTAGTGTAATGTAGGCAGATGATATGCAAGTATCACCAAGAATCTCTGTGAATGCAACTCTATTCTCACCTGAAAGAGCCTTGCTGATATTCTTTCCATACTCCTCTGATTATATTGCAGAAACCGAAAAGGGAATAAATAGCTACTTGCACAAAACACTCACAAGCTAACAAGCAAATGACATTTTGAGATAGAGATCTGCAGATTTATTTTTACCACAAAGGAGAAATAATTGAATTTAAGCCTGAAATGGTTCTAAGCACACTCTGTCAATAAATTGCATGCCAGAAAAAATAGGTCTGACTACCAAAGGAAATTGTAATTCCTAGCACTATTTTGTATTTAAAGCAAGTATATGTGCATGTATGTGTGGGGAGTTTTGGTTAACTGCTTGAACATCAGGGAATGCATGAAAGATCAAACACTAATGTATGAAGCCACAAACCTGGACTGTTACTGTGCTGCTGACCTTCTGCAATCCACAACGGCCTTTGAAACTGAAGTAGGTGTTTAGTGTCACAAGGACACTGAGTTTCTTTGGTTTTTTTTAATTATATTAAGCTGCAAGGCATTTTATAAAAGTATATAAGGAGTTAATTTAAAATAGGTATTTATGATAGCTATAAATTGAATTTTCTGACTTTCTTCTGCCTTTTCAAGATTTGTCAAACTGTCTCCAAAGCCCACAAGAATTACAAACAATTCATGGTTCAGTTTGAACACACATTCAGGTCTAATTATGTCAGATTCCTTTCCAATTATGTTTCCATTTGTTGGACCAGAATCATAGAAGATAAAGTACTTTGGGACACAAAATATCCAAGATACTTTTTATGTATCTTTGTCAGTATTTACAAGAATTCATTCTCATAACACAGTGGTGATGAAAGTCAAGTCAGACTTGCACAGCACAGAAGCTTCCTGTGTATCCTACAAAACTGCAGAGAAATATATTTATACAACAAAAGACAATTTTCCAGCTTACTTATCCAGAAAGCAAGGGATGGTGGTAAAATATCAATACATCTTGTGAACATAGCAAATGTACGAAAACACCAAAAAGCATTCAACATTTATGCAGAGGTACTGTTTTCCTCAGGGTCCCTATCTACAAGATGAATGCTCCCCGTGATCACTGACTCCTCTTGAGCTGAGCTGTTCTCCAAACGCTTCTTTGTGCAATATGGAATGTGGCCACAAAAATACATGTAAATCCATGGGTTGGTGCAACTATTTAAATTGCCAAGGAGCATGATAATGGTGAACGCTGAACCTGGAATGAAATAGTTAAAGCAATAACAGAGTCATTAAAATGATTCTACAAGTAAGTAACATTTCCACAGTCTGCTGCTTGCTAGTGTACCTGCTCATATATTCGTTAATCTAATAGCAGCAAAATTTTCATCTATTCCTTGCAATTTGTGATTGCTGAAGGCATGAAGCACACTGTATTGTATGCATTTCAGAGTTAAATATTTCCAAACAGCTCTTTTTTTTTCTGTAGCTGCATTAAATTTAAAAGCAATTGCTAACCTCTGCTATACAGATATGAATACAGATATTGATTGATATATATATACAGTAAGGCTCAAATTTACACTAACATAAAGAAGTCTTAAAATAAATATTAGAATATTTTTTCAGCAAAGCTATTTTTTTTTTCTCCTTTGGTTTGTGTCTTCGAGTTTAGAATAGGTGCACTTAAATAAAGTCACATATAGATTCAGCCTTTCACAAAGAGGCAGTAGTAATAGTTTGACAAGATTAATCTTGTTTACAAAATAGTGTTCTTTGATATCTCTCTCAGGCTTGCTTTTTTTGCTTTATTAACAGCTGTTTCACAACATTTAATTGTTTCATAGTTTTCTACAGGGATTTCATCAATAAGATTTCAATAGTAAAATAAAATTCAAGATGTCTTATAACATCACTGTTCTATACAGTATATAAGAAGCCTTTATTTTATTACTCTGAGTAGTTAATTGCTTATTTTCACCCCAAGAACCCAAAATACTTCTGCTATAATATCTAAAGCCTCTAAAGGTCTGAACCCTTGCCAGAGCAGATTATACTTTTCCTTGTGCTGTTTATTAACTTTTAAAATAATTAAGTACTCAAAACATACACACAACACACATTTATATGATGTTTTGATCACAGAACACATGAAGTACTCTGTACCTAATATAGCAGATATTCAATCCAGGGTTTTATTTTTAATCATACTCAAATGATGACATATAACTTTTACACAAAAGCAAAGGCAAATATAAAGCAATATAGCAATGTGCCAGCCTGCTATGAAGCTATGAATGAGGATGGAGAGTATCTTACCTTCTGTCAGGACACTGGGAAACCACACAGACCACAGCTGTGCAATGAAGAAAGGTGACCAACAGAGAACATATGCAACAACTGTCACCACCATCATTTTTACAGTCTTGATCATAGCCTTTGAAATACAGTTCACACTGTTTGCTCGAGATGGCAGGACTTGCTTCTGATCTGTTACTTCGTACTCATTCTGTTTTTTCACATACATATTTCTTTTGATTATTTTGCAAATCTTAACCTGGCATGTGACAAGGATGACTGAGGGAATGAAGAATATAACTACAAAAATCCAAGTCACATATGCCCTTGGGCCCCATGGCTGAACAAATTCACCCCAACATTCAAAGATACCTGGAGATATTTCAGCCTTAGAAAAGATAAATACCTGTGGTAGGCTAAGAATCAGTGATACAGACCAGCTGGTGCAAATGGGGATGTTCCAGAGGGCTCTCTTCTTTTGGAAAGTGACCATAGGGTAGCAAACTGCTTGGTATCTGTCCACTGTCATGACCACTATCATATAAGTAGAGGCAAACATGCCCAGCAATTGTAGGTACTTGATAATTCTGCACAAGAAATCTGGCCCTATGAAAACATCTGTAATATCCCATATGAGTTGAGGCAGCACTTGAAAGAAGGCTACCACTAAGTCAGCGATGCTGAGGTGAAGCATGAATACATACATCCTAGAGAGCTTCTTTCTTCTCCGCCATAGCACCAGTATGAGAATAAAATTGCCCACAGATGCTATCAGAAATATGACCCCCAGTACAGCAATTTCTACTTGAGCTAATTGCTCATCTCTTTCTGCTCTTCCAACAGGATCTGACTGATTTCTCAAACTCAGGAATCTGTGAGGAGGACTCTCAGTCTGATGTGCGTTATCCTGCATAGGAAATGAAAAATTCTTCATAGTGCACAGAAGCTACTTACAGTAGCTGCTAGTTGCAATTCAGGTTGACAGCTGCGAAGTACTGGCTAGCAGACAAACCAGCCCAGGTTCAGGTCTCAATGTATCTTCAAGCAATTCTCCTCCTGCTTGTGAGCAGTGGGACCTGGATCTTGATAAAATTCTGTCTCTTGCTAGCATGCAGAAAGGCTTTATATAGGCTCCCAGCAGAGCCTTATGTAACTGCAGAGCCCTTGGGTAGGCTGCAGGGACTGCAGCCAAGGGCAGAGCAAG